GTGTTTTAGCCACCTTGCGTTACGCTCGTTGTTGTGAGCGTCACTCCTCTGCCCTCTGCTGTTGCTGGAGGGCAACTGCCTCCAACTGCAAGTCCACTCAGCTCCACATCCTCCTGTACCACATCACTCCATCTCTTCTCTAGCCCCTGCCGCGCCTGTTTAGCCCCATCTATCTGGCCGAAAAAAAGCTGTTTCGGCATGCGGTGGCTAGAAATGCGGGCTACATGACCCAGCCAACGCAACCTTGCCTGCTGGAGGAGCTCACCGATGCAACTTTGTCCAGATCTATCAAGGACTTGTGAGCTCCTCACACAATTTAGCCTGGTTAAACCCAAGATCGACCGTAGGCAGGCCAGCCTAAATATTTCTAACTGGCGAAGATGTTCCATTAGGGGGGTCCACGTTTCACAAACGTTGAGAAGGGAGGGCATGACCGTGGTCGAGAAGACCCGAAGCTTCATGTGGAGTGATAGACCAGGTAGCTTCCACACAGCATTACGCAACCGATGAAAAGATCATGCCGCTCGACTGATAGGGAGTAAGACCTCTGCTGTCAAACCGGAGCTGGTCATGAGCACACTGCCCAGGTATGGAAAATGTTCCACTCTCTCCACAACTGCCCCATCACCAATTGGGAGTTGTGGGGGTGGAGTGTCTGATGGTACAAAATACCCAGGCAGGTGCTTAGTTTTGGTGGGGCTGAGGGTAAGGCCCCAGCTCTTAGTGGCATGCTCCAGTCTCAGCAGCAGCATCTCCAACTCCTCCTTTGAGTGAGCAGCAATCACCAGATCATCGGCATACATAACATGGTTGACCAGGGAGCCATCCCTTGACCACACCCGGGCATCGATTAGCCTTCCATTATATCTGTACCAGACGGAAATTCGTCCGGTACAGTCATCGAAGGCTTCATGAACTACGTGGTCAAAATAGATGTTAAATAATGTGGGAGCCAGAGGACATCCCTGTCGCACCCCAATGCGAACAGGGAATGGCTCCGACTCCTGGCCACATAGTTTTACCCAGGCCTACTCACCACCATGAAGGTCCATGATGATTGTGAGCAGCGAGTATGGGACTCCAAAAGCACGAAGAACAACCCAGATTCTAGGCCTACTGATGTTATCAGAGGCATTGACCAGGTTAATAAAGTAGAGATGTAGGTCTTGTTGGAATTCCCTACGGACAGAAAGTATGGCATCTGTGCAGGACCACCTTTTCCTGAAACTACATTGGGGCTCTGCAAGCATCTCCTCAGCGTGCCTGGCAAGGCGATGTTGAATAATCCTTAACAGGACCTTTCCCGGTACACTGAGGAGTAAGATGCCTGTGTAGTTGTTACAGTCTGCACGGTCCCCCTTCTTAAAGAAGGGGACCACCAGCGCATCCTTCCAATCCCATCCAGTGATCCAGACCGTTGTTATGATGTCATATAGGGCAGTCTGTGCACAAACGCCACCCTCCCTCAGCATTTTGCTTGCGAGATCATATCTGCTCGGTGCCTTTCCTGGTCTCAGACTCTGGATTAGCTTCAGTACTCAACAGATGGCATCTCAGCCAGCCACTCACAGGGGGTGACTACTTCCTCCAATATTTGAGGCACTGCAGCCTTAGCAGGGTCATCCTCACTTTGCCCAATGTTTTCCAAACTGAGGGATTTCATCTCTCCCAATACCTCGCAGAAATGCTCAGAAAATCTCCAAACCTGTTCCTGGGGGTCGGTTCACCGTTCTTTTATCTAATGATGGTGATAGGTGTGGTGCTGCAAGTTACTTTTTTGATGGAATTAAAGAGTGATTTGTGATCGTGGACCACTGAGGAAGACTCCAACTCAGAAAACCACGACCACCACCCATCCTTGCAACGCCTCACGGCTTTCTGAACGTCCGAGCAAAGGCTGCGGGCAGCCCCCTCATTCTCTGATGTGGGATGCTGTAGACGATAAGAGAACAACTCCTCTGTTAGCTAGGGTCTCTGAGGAGGTCTGAACCGTGTACCCAACGCAGCCATTGCAGCTGCATGAGTCACAGTCCGAATCCTCACCCATTTCCCTTCAGCATCAGGAGGAGTGGGGGACGATGCCAACCCCAGTTTCAAACGATGATGAAATTCTCGCTTGCAACTTTCATCAGCTAGCTGAGACCAGGCCACTGTGGGTTTGAATGGGGTCCTGGGTGTACACCCACCACCGGAGTTGAAAAATGGCAGGCGCATCTTACAGATAACAAGCAGATGGTCAGAGGGCAGATCAGCTCCACGGTAGGTTCTGGTGTCAAGGACATGGGCCTGCATCCGCTCTTCTGTCACTATATAGTCCACCAGATGTTCTTGCTTTGACCGGTGTGATCCATGGAACAGTGTGTTGGTAATTATAAGCCCATGGGCTGCACAAAAGTCTAGCAGCCTCCTACCGTTGTTATTGAACTGATCTGGTCCATGCCCTCCAATCACTCCAGGCCAGGTGCCAGCATCATGACGCACTCGGGCATTAAAGTCACCCAACAGGATGACTCTATCCCAAGCGGCCCCTTTAGCCAGCACCTGGGACAGGAGGCCATAGAAGGCATCTGACTCATCGGCCCTGCTTGCATTCCTCCACTGATGTTCATCTTCAATGGTGGCATAAATAACCACGACCTCCACTCCTCGCCTCTGGTTGATGGGAAAACGAGCCCAAAGTAGCCTGGGGCTTATAGCTTCCCTCACCTCACCGCCACGCTCCCACACCCCCTCCATTTTGTTCAGAAGAAGAGCCACTCCCTGGTGTTTGCCATTCTCCTGCCCCGAGTAGAGGACTGTCCATCCCTCATGGTGGCAGGAGCCAGAGCCGGTCCACCAGACCTCTTGAATACCACAGAGATCCAGGCGGAACTAGTCCACCTCCCGACAGAGGAGTGGCAGCCTCTCATCCGAAGTGAGCGTTCGAACATTCCACATGGCCACCCGCAGTGGCTTTTTGCTCTTTCAGAAGCTAAATTGGATATTTTTTTCTTGGTTTAGTAGTAATTATTTGAAGGTGGAGGGGTTACCAGCCCCTCACACCTGTCCAGAGCCCCCTTTGGCCGCTGTGGTGGCTACCAACACCATGAGGGGGATGGCCAATCTCAGTTGGCCCTCCCCCCATGGCACTGCTCACCACAGCGTTACCGTCCGGCACCGACGAGGAGGTAGGGGGTTGTTTTGCCGGACACACGAACACACACAGACACACACACTCATACACACACTCACACACACATACACACACATACACACACATACACACACGGAGACACACACAGAGACACACTCACACACACACACAGACACACTCACACACACGCACAGACACACTCACACACACATACACACACATGCACACATACACACACACATACACACACACACATCTCTCACAATCTCACACACACAGACACACGCACAGACACTCACACACACACACGCACAGACACATTCACACACATACACACACGCACAGACACACTCACGCACATACTCACACACACTCACACACACACTCACACACATACTCACACACACTCACACACACTCACACACACTCACACACACTCACACACACTCACACACACACATCAAGACACTCACACACATACACACACACTCTCACACATACACACACTCACACGCACACACTCACACACATACAGACACACTCACACACACACGCACAGACACTCACACATACACACACGCACTCACACACACACAGATACACTCACACACACTCACACACAGACACACTCACACATACACAGACACACACACACACTCACACATACACACTCACACACATACACAATCACACACATACACACTCACACAGACACACAGACACACACACATACACACACACACACACATCCACACACACACATCCACACACACATCCACACACACAGACACACTCACACAGACACACTCACATACACACACTCACATACACACACTCACACACACACACTCACACACACACAGCCATCCACAAAGACAAAGATCCCCCACATAGCCTGAAAAGACTATTGGGAAAAGCGCTGTTAGCGAGCACCTATGAAGGCCGGCACGGCACACGAGGGGGTGGGTGGCCAGCACCACGCCCGACCGCCTTCATCTCCCCAGCAGCAGGTACTCATTTGATGCTCAGTCGACCTAGATGAGGCCCAGGACCGGGTCAGATAATCGTCATTGGTGTTGGCCGTGAGCGGGAATCGAACTCGCGCCGCTGGGTTCGTAGCGCTGACTGTTGCCCCACCACTTCCCAAACATCCACACACGCAATCTTACATCCCTCCACTCACCCAACCACCCACTCACCCAACCACCCACTCACCCAACCACCCACTCACCCAACCACCCACTCACCCAACCACCCACTCACCCAACCACCCACTCACCCAACCACCCACTCACCCAACCACCCAACCACCCACCCAATCGTCCACCCATCTAACCACCCACCCAATCACCCACTGCGCCACCTACCGACCCATCCGCTTCATCCGAACTCTCTCTCTCTTCTCTCCCTCCCACGGACTCCACACCCCCCTCCTTCCTATCCGGTGTCTCTCCTCCTCCTGCTGCTGCTGCTGCTGCCCTTCCCCTTCCAACTCCCCTCCAATCCTCACCACCTCCCATAATCATCCTCCCATTATCATCTCTCTCATCATAATCTCTCCATGATCATTTTCCCCATTATCATCTCTCCCACTATCATCCTTCCCATTATCATCTCTATATTTAATCTTCCCATTATCATCTCCCTATTTCATCTTCTCATTATCATCTCTCTATTTTATCTTCCCATTAACATATCTCCATTATCATTAATCCTATAATCGTCTCTTCCACGATCTATCCATTATCATTTCTTTCATGATAATCCCGCCATTACAATCTCTCCCATTACCATCTCCCCCATGAACATCTCCCCATCTCTCCGTGACCATCTCGCACCCATTACCTCCCCATCTGTCTACCCCCAGCCCCCTATAGGCCGCCACCGCCGACGTCACAATGGGCGACTGGAGCATGCTGGGAGGCGTGCTGGAGCAGGCGCACGAGCACTCGACGGCGCTGGGCAAGGTGTGGCTCACGGTGCTCTTCGTCTTCCGCATGCTCGTGCTGGGCACGGCCGCCGAGAGCGTTTGGGGCGACGAGCAGTCGGACTTCCATTGCAACACGCTGCAGCCGGGCTGCGAGAACGTCTGCTACGACGCCGCCTTCCCCGTGTCGCACGTGCGCCTCTGGGTGCTCCAGATCGTCTTCGTGTCGACGCCGTCGCTCGCCTACCTCGGCCACGTGCTGCACGGCGCCCGGGCGGCCGCGCGCAGGAGGGAGCGGCGCGCGCGCGCCGCCGCCGAGGGGAGGGCGAGGGGGGCGGCCGAGGGGAGGGCCGCGGATTCCGCGGCGGCGGCGGCGGCGGCGGCCGAAGGCGGAGAGGACGGCAAGGACAATGGGAGAGGAGACGAGGTGGGGATGATGATGATGGTGGTGGTGGTGATGGTGGTGGTGATGGTGGTGATGGTGGTGGTGATGATGGTTATGATGGTGGTGATGATGATGGTGGTGATGGTGGTGATCGTGGTGATGATGATGGTGATGATGGTGGTGGTAATGATGATGGTGATGATGGTGGTGGTGATGATGATGATGGTGGTGATGATGGTGATGATGATGGTGATGATGGTGGTGGTAATGATGATGGTGATGATGGTGGTGGTGATGATGATGATGGTGGTGATGATGGTGATGATGATGGTGATGATGGTGGTGGTGATGATGATGGTGGTGATGATGGTGATGATGATGGTGATGATGGTGATGATGGTGGTGATGATGATGATGGTGGTGGTGATGATGATGGTGGTGGTGATGTGTGTTGAACTTCTATGTACGTAGCCAACCGTGCTCATCGGATGTGCGGGGAACGGACAACAAACGAACACACTTCAACAACAAACAGTCTATGGTGCAGTGATGAGTCTATGGTGCAGTGATGATGAGTCTATGGTGCAGTGATGAGTCTATGGTGCAGTGATGATGAGTCTATGGTACAGTGTTGAGTTTATGGTGCAGTGTTGAGTCTATGGTGCAGTGATGAGTCTATGGTGCAGTGTTGAGTCTATAGGCAGTGATAAGTCTATGGTGCAGTGTTGAGTCTATAGGCAGTGTTGAGTCTATGGTGCAGTGTTGAGTCTATAGGCAGTGTTGAGTCTATGGTGCAGTAATAAGTCTATGGTGCAGTGTTGAGTCTATGAGCAGTGTTGAGTCTAAATGTGGAGGGGAAAAACCGGAGGATCCGGAGAAAAATCCATGCGACCACGGGAAAAGAGACACGCAGACTACAAAAATACAGCAGGCGTTAGGGTCCGGATCGAACCTACGACCTCCTGTATACCTGGCGAGGTAGTTAACATCTCATAGCCACCGTGATGATGATGAGAGAGAGAGAGACACGCAAACTCCAAATATACAACAGGCGTCAGGGTCGGGATCTAATCCACGACCTCCTGTAAACCCAGCGAGGTAGTTAACATCTCCTAGCCACCGTGGCGGCCAAAAACACTTGCTGTGGTAGCGTGGGGAGGACATCTCTCGTCCATTCTCTTCCCTCCCCTCGCCCCTTCAATCCTTCCCGTCCCTCCCCTAGAGCCCCTTTCATTATCCCCTAAAGTACCCCCTGTATGGCTGCTGCTGACTCATTCCTCAATAACGCCCCTATCGACTGCATCGTTCCATTCTGTCATCATTGAGTCAGCTATGTCAAGCGCCTTGAGCGAAGGCGATCTCTATAAATATACAATCAGATTAGATTATGTGCACATCCATTGACTTGCGTGGTGTGCTATTACAATTATTGTGATCGTTACGCACCGGACAATAACCAGAACTTACCATGTCCCTGGAAAGATGATCCACAGATTTACCAGGACAGCAGATGCCTCGAACAGAAGGAAGACCACGATGAGTAGTAACCCGCGGTGCAGATCGATAATTCAGAGGTAACTGATGTTGGGGTAGCTGATCTGTCTCCGTGTCTCTCTCTCTCTCTCCTGTCGAAGACAACGATTTCCCCGTAAAGCATTAGCAGACTGGTGGGGCATGTGGCGATGTTTACTACACACCGCACCAGGGACTCATTTGAGGCTGAGTAGACCTAGGGGGGAGGCCCAAGACCGGTTCAGGTAATCGTCACCGATGTTGTTGGCCGTGAGCGGGAATCGAACTCGGGTCGCCGGGTTCGTAGGGCGGCGTAGCGCTAACCGCTGCGCCACCGCTCCCCGGTCCAGATGGCTCTCCGCTATCGTCATCTTCGCTACAGCCACACTCTCGACGTTTAGAAATACACGTCGCAAATTTGTGCTATTGTACGCTGAACTTCTCTGACACCTTACGTAATTAACCGTGCTGATCGGAGATGCGGGGGAATGACCACGAACTAAACACGAGAATGTCACGTAGAAGGGAAACAATAAAATAATAAAAATATAAAACGATAAAATTCTCACGACGTTTCGACTGCAACACAAGCAATCATGATGATGATGATGACACAAGCAATCATCATGATGATGATGATTATTGCTTGTGTTGCAGTCGAAACGTCGTGAGAATTTTATTGTTTTATATTTTTATTATTTTATTGTTTCCCTTCTACGTGGTGACTTTACCGAAAGAACCAAGAATATGAATCCCTGCAGTCACGGAAACTTTAAATCAAAATTTAAACACGAGAAGTTGAACACGCAGCAGCAGGGCTGTCACCACCAATGTTATTCACAGTAGAGGTTCTTTGGGTGAAGATCGTGTAAATGTATAAATGTGTCGTTGAACCAGCCACCACCAGGCAAAGCCAATTAGTGAGGGGTTGTCACGTAAACAAAACGTGACAATTCGCTACTAGTACAGCACTAACCGGTGGTGAGTTGGGGAATAAACCCACTACAACATTTACAATTGCCAACTGTAAATGTTATTAAATTAGTTTTCAGTCAGCTGACAGGTCTGTAGACTCTGTCCGACACTCTCTACTTGCCTTGACAAACAACAACCAACAACAACAACAACAACCAACAACAACCAACAACAACCAACAACAACAGCGGAATCTCTGCCCCTCCCATGACTGATGCACTGTGAGAGCGCACAGGACGAGGTGGTCATAGAGGAGGAAGCCCACGCACGCGCCACTCCTTCACCACCGACGAATCACCCTCGCACCACCCACGCGCCACCCACGCACCACCCACGCGCCACCCACGCACCACCCACGCACCACCCCTTCACCACCCACGCGCCACCCACGCACCACTCCTTCACCACCCACACACCACCCCTTCACCACCCACGCACCACCCCTTCACCACCCACGCACCACCCCTTCACCACCCACGCACCACCCCTTCACCACCCACGCACCACCCCTTCACCACCCACGCACCACCCCTTCACCACCCACGCACCACCCCTTCACCACCCACGCACCTCCCACGCACCAACCACGCGCCAACCACGTACCACCCCCGCGCCACCCCTTCACCACCCACGCACCAACCACGCGCTACCCACGTGCCACACACGCACCACCCACGCACCACACACGCACCACCCACGCACCAACCACCCACTCATCATCCACGCGCCATCTCCCCCCCCATCTCCCCCCCCGCCCCCCCACGCAGGAGGCTCCTCCCGTGCGTCTCCGCGGGGCCCTGCTCCGTACCTACGTGCTGTGCGTGTCCCTGCGCTGCGCTCTCGAGTTGTGCTTCTCGCTGGGCCAGTACGGCCTCTACGGCCTCCTGCTGCGGCCCCTCTACCGCTGCGAGCGCTGGCCCTGCCCCAACGCCGTCGACTGCTTCCTGTCGCGCCCCACCGAGAAGAACATCTTCATCGTCTTCATGATGGCCGTGTCGGCGATCTCGCTGGCGCTCAACCTGGCCGAGGCGAGGCGATGCGCGGTCGCGTTGGTGGTGGTGGCGGTGGCGGTGGTGGCGGTGATGGCGGTGGTGGCGGTGATGGCGGTGGTGGCGGTGGTGGCGGTGATGGTGATGGTGGCGGTGGTGGCGGTGGCGGCGGTGGCGGTGGCGGCGGTGGCTATGAGATGTTAACTACCTCGCCTGGTCTGCAGGAGGTCGTGGATTCGATCCCGACCCTGACGCCTGCTGCTGTGTATTTGGAGTTTGCGGTGTCTCTCTCTCATCATCATCACGGTGGCTATGAGATGTTAACTACCTCGCCTGGTCTGCAGGAGGTCGTGGATTCGATCCCGACCCTGACGCCTGCTGCTGTGTATTTGGAGTTTGCGGTGTCTCTCTCTCATCATCATCACGGTGGCTATGAGATGTTAACTACCTCGCCTGGTATGCAGGAAGTCGTGGATTCGATCCCGACCCTGACGCCTGCTGCTGTGTATTTGGAGTTTGCGGTGTCTCTCTCTCATCATCATCACGGTGGCTATGAGATGTTAACTACCTCGCCTGGTCTGCAGGAGGTCGTGGATTCGATCCCGACTCTGACGCCTGCTGCTGCTGTATATTTGGAGTTTGTGTCTCTCTCTCATCATCACAGTGGCTATGAGATGTTAACTACCTCGCCTGGTATACAGGAGGTCCTGGGTTCGATCCCGACCCTGACGCCTGCTGCTGTATATTTAGAGTTTGCCTGTCACTCTCTCATCATCATCACGGTGGCTATGGGATGTTAACTACCTCGCTTGGTATGCAGGAGGTCGTGGATTTTCTCCGAATCCTCCAGTTTTTCCCTCCACGTTCATGATCACACGTTGAGAGGATTTGCCCTCAATACATTGCCACATGATGACATGGCCAGATCGTTTCTGAAATAAGAGCTATTTAGCTCCGTGGGCCTTACCTGGTACATACAAATATAAAGTTTGTTACTTTAATCGACAAGACGTTGCCTACAGCTGGGTTGCCAGCTGCTGCTGCTGACAGCGGATACTGCTGACAACGGATACCACACCCATTTCCTCCTCATATGATCATCTCGTTGCACAAAAAGCAGTATATGGGGATTGTTGCATTTATGGGACGTGTTGAGTCTATGGGAATTGTTGAGTCTATGGGCAGTGTTGAGTCTATGGGCAGTGTTGAGTCTATGGGCAGTGGTGAGTCTATGGGGCAGTGTTGAGTCTATGGGTAGTTTTGAGTCTATGGGGCAGTGATGAGTCTATGGGTAGTGTTGAGTCTATGGGGCAGTGATGAGTCTATGGGTAGTGTTGAGTCTATGGGCAGTGTTGAGTCTATGGGCAGTGTTGAGTCTATGGGTAGTGTTGAGTCTATGGGGCAGTGATGAGTCTATGGGTAGTGTTGAGTCTATGGGGCAGTGATGAGTCTATGGGTAGTGTTGAGTCTATGGGGCAGTGATGAGTCTATGGGCAGTGTTGAGTCTATGGGGCAGTGGTGAGTCTATGGTGCAGTGTTGAGTCTATTGGCAGTGGTGAGTCTATGGGCAGTGTTGAGTCTATGGGCAGTGCTGAGTCTATGGGGCAGTGTTGAGTCTATGGGCAGTGTTGAGTCTATGGGCAGTGTTGAGTCTGTGGGCAGTGGTGAGTCTATGGGCAGTGTTGAGTCTATGGGCAGTGTTGAGTCTATGGGCCGTGTTGAGTCTATGGGCAGTGTTGAGTCTATGGGCAGTGTTGAGTCTATGGGCAGTGGTGAGTCTATGGGCAGTGTTGAGTCTATGGGCAGTGTTGAGTCTATGGGCAGTGTTGAGTCTATGGGGCCGTGTTGAGTCTATGGGCAGTGTTGAGTCTATGGGCAGTGTTGAGTCTATGGGCAGTGGTGAGTCTATGGGCAGTGTTGAGTCTATGGGCAGTGTTGAGTCTATGGGGCCGTGTTGAGTCTATGGGCAGTGTTGAGTCTATGGGCAGTGTTGAGTCTATGGGCAGTGTTGAGTCTATGGGGCAGTGTTGAGTCTATGGGCAGTGTTGAGTCTATGGGCAGTGGTTTGTCTATGGGCAGTGTTGAGTCTATGGGCAGTGTTGAGTCTATGGGGCAGTGTTGAGTCTATGGGCAGTGTTGAGTCTATGGGCAGTGTTGAGTCTATGGGCAGTGTTGAGTCTATGGGGCCGTGTTGAGTCTATGGGTAGTGTTGAGTCTATGGGGCAGTGATGAGTCTATGGGCAGTGTTGAGTCTATGGGCAGTGATGAGTCTATGGGCAGTGTTGAGTCTATGGGGCAGTGGTGAGTCTATGGTGCAGTGTTGAGTCTATTGGCAGTGGTGAGTCTATGGGCAGTGTTGAGTCTATGGGCAGTGCTGAGTCTATGGGGCAGTGTTGAGTCTATGGGGCAGTGTTGAGTCTATGGGCAGTGTTGAGTCTATGGGCAGTGGTTTGTCTATGGGCAGTGTTGAGTCTATGGGGCAGTGTTGAGTCTATGGGCAGTGTTGAGTCTATGGGCAGTGTTGAGACTATGGACAGTCTTGTATGTATGTATGTCGAACCTCTTTCGCATCGTACGTAGCCAACTATGCGAATCGGATGTGCGGGGGAAGGACAACAAACTAAACACACAACAACAAGCAGTTCTAAAGAAACGAGTGTTCAGTCAGCTTACAAGTGTGTAGACTCTGCCCGTCACACTGCCCTCCGAGCGATAATTTCGCTTGGCCAAATGCCGAGCAGCGACTGTTAAAGAGAGCGTTTAGTGGGGTTAAAAAAACAATTCACTGCTGAACTTCAGCGTATTGTTGTAAAGGTGGCCGAGCGTGGTACTGGCCACATCGCCTTCGCGTGGCACAGCATCTTGCCCCAGCGGTCTTTTGAAGGTGATACACGGGTGGTGGTGGTGGTGGGGGACACCTTCGTCTTGTGTGTCGACTTGCGCAGGTGTACCACCTCGGCTGGAAAGCGTTCACGCGCAGCATCAACTACCGAGAGCCCACCTACGAGGTCCCGGATTATTCCGAGCGGCACAAAACTCCTCCGCCTCCTCCGCCCGCAAAGAACCACCGCTCCCAGCAACCGGGAGTCGAACCCAGGTCCCCGCAGGCTCCGGGTCTTCCGTGGGCGAGCGCTCGCGAAGGAGGCGAGACGGCTGAACGAGGAGGTGGACAAGACGAGGCCTACCTCGCCGCGGCGGCCCCACCGTACCGCCGGCAGGATTGGCCAACAATGTTTGCGTCCGAATTCGGTGAGACGAATGACGGCGTGCACGCGTCACGGGCGTTACCCTCGTTATAACGCTCTTCGTCCTCGGGAGAGGACATTGGTAACAGTCACCGCGGAGGTGGAGGTAGGCGTGGCGTTGCCCGGGGGGGTCCTGTCTTTGGCCACGCACGTCACAATGGCCTCCTGCGGATACTGTTCACGTACAGCGCTCCCTTTACCCAGAATGCATCCGGAGCGCTGTGGTATAGGAGGAGGTTTGGCTGTAACATGAAGAGCTGCTGCTGTTGCTGCTGCTGCCCGTTCACAGCTCGTCGCGTTATTTCCCAGTGCTCAACGTTTCACTCGAAACAACTGTCCTACCTCAAAGGGTCCTCCTCTACCGGAGCAGATAGTATTCCCGTCTTTGCTCTACTAACTGTTGGTCACCTAATATACAAACCTATAGCCCATATTTTCAACCTGTCCATCACTGAAGCATCAGTTCCTCTAGAATGGAAACATTCCTATGTCCGTCCACTTCACAAAGGGGGCCCTAAAGATGATCCAAATAACTACCAACCTATCTAAATTTTGTCCCCGTTAATGAAAATGTTTGAAAAATTATTGACCTACCAAATTAGCAGTTTCCTGTCCACCAACAATCTACTACATCTTAAACAATCTGGGTTCCGAAAAAAATACAGCGCCACATCTGCTGCATAAGACTCTCTGAATCACATTTACAGTAGCCTTGATAATAAGCAATACTGTGCCTGCCTTTTTCTAGACCTGTCCAAAGCTTTTGATACAGTAGACCACAACACCCTGCTTAGTAAACTTAGTTGCCTCGGTTTTTCCGAAAACGCAGTAAAATGGTTACAAAATTACCTCATTTCTCGCACCCAAACTGTATTTACAGATGGTTGGAGGTCAAACAGTGTCGAGATAACAAAAGGGGTTCCACAGGGTTCCATCCTCGGCCCCCTTTTGTTCTCTCTTTACGTCAATGACTTGGGCACTGACCTGGATCACTCCAGGGTAAATCTGTTTGCAGATGACACGATACTGATTACTGCTGGCCGCTCTCCAAATGACGTGATTGCTAAGCTCCAGGGTGATTTCAACAAACTACAACATCAGCTTGTTGCTCTTAAACTAGTCCTGAATACCGCCAAAACCAAGGTGCTATGCTTCTCACCAGGACTAAAGCAGGAAGTTATTTTTCCCCAATTACATTCCTTAAATAATTATCAAATAGAGCAAGTCAAGATCTATAAGTATCTTGGGGTCATCCTGGATTCAAAACTGAATTTTTAAGATCACATTGATTATATTGGTAAAAAGACAAAAATACAAATTGGTTTTCTGTATTGACACAAGCACTGCTTCCCCCCAATGTTCCGTTTGGAATTGATAAAGCTACCATACTGCCTCTACTTGACTACTTTGACATCGTGTATAAATCAGCCCCAAGTACTGTACTGAAGAAGCTTGATTCCATCTATCACTCGGCCTTAAGGTTTACATTGAACTGCCCATATAGGATTCACCACTGTGATCTCTACATTGGGTCAAACTTAACATCTCTTATGTTCGACGGCTTGTGCACCAGATCTTATTTATTCACGATGTACTTACAAAAAAAATCCGCAGACTACCTGCTGGATCTCTTCTCTGTTTCAAAGAACAAATTTGACCTCAGGTCTTCGCTCATCTACCAGCTTCACATTCCCTATTGCCGTACAAAAACTGGAGGAAGGGCCTTTGCTATTGATGCCCCCAGGGTCTGGAATGCTATTGCCAATAAACTGCAACTTGAATCGCTACCAATGAGATCTTCTCTCAAAACTGCTCTAGAGGGGTTGTACACCCCTAGCTGCCACTGCTATTCATTGGCGTAAAATAAAATAAAATGTTTTCGCTCCAGATGACGCTGCAAAGTATTATCTGTATTTTGATTTAGCGTGCTGATCTTAAAGGTGCATTGAAAAATATGATGCTCCGACTGATGCTCCTGTTGTTGTGGAGTAACTCATGCAGCCAGCTATGGCTCTAGCATTTGGTGTTACATGTTATTTATGTACTTCATTGTAAAAATCCGGTCACAGTCCCTATGATCACTGTTACGTTGCAATTATGGCTTTATTTTTTGGTGATTTCGAAAAGTTTTTTGGTTTGGACACGTTTGTTTTATTGTAGTACAGAGTTAGACTGATGGCCTTAATCTAAGTTTTCTTGTGGTTGTTGTTGTTGTTGACTTGCATCCCACTGGGATTTTTTGCACACAGCGTTGGTGTACGGTGCTTTTTTCAGGAATATTTTGCTGTTTTTTTCATGGATTTTCTGTTTGCAGTCACATAGTCACTTTAAGATGTTTTTCTTGTTCGTGTTTTAGTTTTTTTGTTTGTTGTGGATGCACCAGATTCAAGAGCCGAATGGCTCACAGGGCTATACCAAAATAAATAAACTGAAAAATAAACTGTATACATCCCATGGCAGAGCCAAGATTATTTTAGGTAGCGGGGGGGGGGGGGGGGCAACCCCTCCAGCAATGAAAAATGATCGTTGTTAGTGAGTAAGGAGTTGTCCCTTGCTTTTATTGGACGCGTGTGCGGCGATGGCGCAGCCATCGATCGAGGGTCGAGTTCGAACCGCGTTGTGTGATCGGCATCGCGCTCGCTGAAGGTGTTGATGCCTTCAGGGAAGTCGTGTGCTGTGTACGCAACTGCGCACAATTCTGTGAGTCGCTTATAACCGCTTTGCCGTTACTTATTGCCAATTATGGACTCAGACTATTGTCCTATCATCTCATAGAGTCCCTGGCACGTAATAATATGCTACACGGTGGCAGTGGGGGTCGCAAAATGCCGATTTATTACTAATAAACCCCAATGATCCGATCGAAATTAGGGAATTCGATCGGATCATTGGGGGGGGGGCACGTGCCACCCCCACCCCCCCCCCCCCAACTGGCTCCGCCAGTGTATACACCGCCTGGTGTATTGTTAAGGTAAAAATGTGCCCCAGCGGTGGAACCATCGGCACGCTGAACTGCTAAGCCAGAGGGGAGCCCACTGCGATTCCATCTCTCCTGGGCGCCTCTGTCCGTCGACGAGCATCGATGGGCTCACCTCGGTCACTCGATCGGCAGGTCGCGTGCGGCGGGGTAAAGCGTGGTTACTGCCACCTCATCCAAGACGTGTGGGCCAGTGTGGATGAGTCGGCCGGCGCGCCCTCTTAGAGGTGGCTCGAGTGGAGGCCATTCTCCCGACAGTGGCGTGAGAGCGCGCACAATTTGCATCGAGAAGCATTCAACGGAGCTGCCCCCAAGTGTTTGGAACCGCCTCGTTGTTGTCTCTTGGCATCTCCATGCTGGGTCTGTTCGTGAGTGCGTGGGGCTCTGTGCGTTCTGAAGGTCTCTGCGTGGGTCTGTGTGAGTCTGTGGGTCTCTGCACCTTTATGCAAGCGATTGATCATCCCAGGGCGCCATGGTGGCGAGAAGTTCACTACCTCGCCTGGTATACAGGAGGTCGTGGGGTTCGATCCCGACCCTGACGCCTGCTGCTGTATATTTGGAGTTTGCGTGTCTCTCATCATCATCACGGTGGCTAGATGTTAACTACCTCGCCTGGTATACAGGAGGTCGTGGGGTTCGATTCCGACCCTGACGCCTGCTGCTGTATATTTGGAGTTTGCGTGTCTCTCATCATCATCACGGTGGCTAGATGTTAACTACCTCGCCTGGTATACAGGAGGTCGTGGGGTTCGATTCCGACCCTGACGCCTGCTGTATATTTGGAGTTTGCGTGTCTCTCTCTCTCTCCCCGTAGTCACGGGGGGGTTTCCCCCTGCACATTTACAATCAACGCCACACGTTTAGATAATGTGGCTTCTGCTGCTACAAATGTCCACATCACGATAAGCCGCTTTTCGTCGAACTATCATTTGCGATATAGCCAGGTCGCTTTTGATAATAAGCTGTATACACAGCTCCTTGGGAGTGGGGGGCCTCATACCTGGTAAAATCAAATAGTTTGGTTCAGTGTAGCTCCTACTAATGACCTTCCGACCCCTGACCCCCTCCCAACAGACACTGGCCGCTCCACGTTTGACACCCTGTGGGACGAGCCCTCCGCCTCTACGGGGATGCCGACGTCGCAGCAGGCGACGAGGTGCTCCCCCGCTGGGCAGCTGCCCCCAGCCACGGCGCCAGGCTGCCCCCGGCTGCCCTCGCCCCCCACGATGCCCCTGCCCCTGCCCCCCTTCCCCCTGCACATGCGCATTCAGGAGCCCCCCCACAGTCGCAGCAGTGGCGGCGGCGGCAGCAGCAACGGCAGGAGCCGCTTGGATGACCTCGCCGTTTGAAAGGACCGGGAGAAGTTTCACGATGGCCCCGTGTCGCCTAGACGCCTAGGTTCGAGACCCGGGTCCGGGTTTTTTTTGTCTCGTTGAGTAGGACTGCGTCGGCGGGCGTCTCGAGTCACGGAGTCGGCACCGGCCGAGACATAGGTTTGAGCCCTGGGTGTGTGTGTGTGTGTGTTTCTCTCTCAAGTGGTCCATACTGGCCGTGTTTGAACAGCCTGAGGTGAGCGATCGGCTTTCTAGAAGGGGGTTCCATCCAGTGGCCGTGTCGGAGACACAGCCAGCACCGCTGAGCTCCTGGCTTCGAGCCCCCCCCCCCCCCCCCCCCGAGGCTGGCTGAGGGTTTGTTTCTCAGTGGGTTCATAATGGTCGTGTCGAGTACACCGATTCAGCACTGCCCAGACGCCGAGATTGAATCCTGGGCGTAGGGGAATTCGTCTGCCGCCCCCATCACCCCCCTCTCTCTCGGGAGTGTTCATAATGGCTGGCTCAGAGCTAATTAAGGGTCGGGGTTTTCAAGTTCCGGTAATGGGTGCGTCGCTCTGTCCGGAGGTTCACAGTGGCCATGTTGGAGGCTCCAAAAAAACACCCAAGTTCAATTCACACGCGTTTGTCCAAGCAACTCGGAGAGGAGACTTGGCCTTTAGAACTCGGCTGTGCCCCGTTGACTCGATTCGATGGCCGTCGACCCTCCAGGGCGACCCGGCCGGTCAGTATCCTCCGGCAGGAGCTCACGCGCTTGGCACCAGCGGGGTCGTCCTCCCGTCAAACCGTCTAGACGTTGGTGGAGTCTCGTAGCTCATCGGATTCCTCCAGGATGAAGATTCCGATTCCGGGTGGCAGCTGCTCCGGTCCACCGTTTGACGTTTCCCCAACCAGGTCTCCCGTTTTTTTTTTAGTCCTTCCCTCGCTTTCTTTTTTTCCTTCGCTTTGTCGTTTTTCTTCGTCTACTCCCCGAAACGGAGCGCGGCGACTCCTCGCTTAACGCGTGGCCGGTGTTCACACTGCAATGCGCTGTTCACTATGAACGCTGTTGACGCTGCAACGTGGTTCACTCTGCAATGCATCGTTAGCTATGAACGCTGTTCACTCTGAAACGCGTCGTTAGCTATGAACGCTGTTCACTCTGCAATGCGTCGTTTGCTGAACGCGGTTCACGCTGTAACGCGTCGTTAGCTATGAACGCGGTTCATGCCGCAATGCGTCGTTAGCTATGGACGCTGTTCACCCTGCAACGCGCCGTTCCTTGTGAACGCGGTTTTCACTCTAATGCATCGATCGCTACGAGTGCAGTTCATTCTGTAATGCGTCGAACTAACCACGACACGTCCTGCCAAAGCCCTGCTTACTTTTCTGTAAAGCGTCCGAGGTAATTAAACAGCGTACCTTCTCTAACAAACGTTCCCTTTTCAGTTTGTTCCATTCGTTATGAATTACCATGTACAGCGGACTCTCGATTATCCGCGCAAATGACAGGGAGGACAGCCGCGGATAATAAAAAATCGCCATTTTCCGCTAATCTCTATGCCAACAAGCAATGCAGGTATAAATTGTTTAAGTTAATAAAATTTAGTTTGGTAATGAACAAACACTAACGTTCGACCGATGCACGTGTTCAGCAATCACAATTTCCTACTCGAGCGCAGAAGAATAGGCCCACTGAGTGAATGACTACAGCGTCATGCCAATCGACAAACTCCACCCACTGTTGTAAAGATATGCTACTGTACTGAAGAGGCGATCACATTATTTGTTCGGTTTAAGCACGTGGCTTGTAATAAACATTTCCAAAAATAACAATGTACAACTGTTTTATTAATATCATTCATTTGGATCAAGGGAAAACCCATCGGTTATTAATTTACCTCAAAATCTCAGATAATCGAGAATCTGCTGTATCTGAATGTCATTGCAGGCCTAACGCATCGTCATTGAACACTTTTTTTTCTTGAAAGTCATTGGGCTGTTACTTTTAGATCGTCAAGTTTAGACTTTGTTACATGGTTCAGGCGACCGCTGCACATTCGTGATGTTAATAAGTGTTGTAAAGTACAGCGGTGACTATTATAGCAACTGAAGTATTTCCACGCTTCTTGTTAACAAAGCTTCAGCCTCATGTGGGACAGCCTCGGGACACGCTCTGGGTCTCTACTGCTACGTCTGGAGAAGAGCAGTTTGCGAGTAGAGTTGTTATCTGCCATTAAAATGTCGCTGTGGTTATTTGTGCAAAAAAAAAATCTGTTTTATAGCTCCAATACGTAAATAAATCCGTGAGGTTTTTTTGGGGCTCGATTGCGTCACATAAACGGGACGTGCCAATTCGTTACTAGTACAGCACACCGGCGTGTTGGAGAGTAAACCCACAGCATTTCCAATCCGAGCACAACTATTTCTCCAGTAATGACAACGTAAATGCCAATCTAAACAAAGCAAAATATCAACGGCACATTCTGCGTTCACACCACAGTATTCTCTCGCGCTTCGAGAGAACGACCGAGGAGCGGAGGAACCATACAACTTGGAAAGAAGTAGCCAGGTGGCGGGCGAGCCTGCACCAATTGGACACGCTCTGCGGTCCTCTATGCATCAAGATGTTTTCAGCCAAGTAATGGGCGTTTGTATATGCGTGGCGGAAAAATGGTAAAGGGGGATTGTGGTGGCGTAAACAGCCGTTTGCGTCTCCATTTCGTTTCATTGTCGTGTCGTCAAAACGTTTCTCCATCGCCTTGGCGAAAAGTTTAAATCCACATCATTAGAATAAATCACCCCACAGTTGTTATGTATCATTCCCTAAAAACACACAACAGCACTCTGAACGCCCCAGAGGCTCATCAGGCATGAGGCCCTGTGAAAGCCACAGGGTCATATTTAAATATCGTGCACTCCCAAAAAAAAGACAAGCCCGACTTTTTTGATGTTTAAAATCATTTACTAGCAATACACGATGATAGTTTAAGTGCTTTGAAAACGTTGTTTTTTTTGCAACTTGTCACACGTGCATTCAGCAAACTTGCCCTCAACCCACCGGACTAAAACACTTTGTAGGGTTCACTACTGGTGGATCCATTCTCTTAAGCATAGCCTGCAACCTGGCCGAGTGATCGATCAATTCCATCCTTCAACTTCTAGAACTTTTGGTTCATATTTTCGTAAGTTCCACCCCCCCTAATTTTATCCATCAGCGGTTACATCATCACGAGACGGAATTTGTTTTCTCTCGCTCTCGAAAACTCTCACAAAGCTGTGCGACCCATTCCGCGTTTGGAGAACGACCTGCGGAAGCGGATATCACAGAGCTACCCTCTTGAGGTTCCTTCCCTCCTACAGGCGACGCACCGGTCCAGGCCACACGGTAGCGGGCGGTGCCGTCTCACTCAATCGACCGCGTGAAATGTTCATCGCAAGACGGACGTGCCAATATTTTCTCGGGGGATTTTCATAAGCCTGACATGTGGCTATATCAGCAACTCATCCCGTGACCGTCTCTCTGCGATCACCAGAGTAAAAACTCACGAAAACGGTCTTGACAAGGCAGGAATATGGGGGGGGGTAAAAGCCAGAATTCAATTGGGGGGTGGGATATTTTTTTATAATTTTAAATCAAAACTATAAGGGAGATTGTGTGCACTGACACATTCTCAAGCGACTTATCTGTTGTATCAAAATAAAAACGAACAATTTCATTTGGACTCCACAGGTTATTGTATTTTTTCTTTTACACGTGTAATGACCGAGGCAACAGGCCACACTTGCCTAACAAGCGTACATGTGAACGGACAGTCAGAAAGTCAGCCAAGGCCTCCGATTGGTGCAGGAAAGCCTCAAAGGCGATTAGTCAGGCGGCGAGATTCAAAGGGACTGGAGGAGAGATCCCAACGTAATTGTTATTAAGCGGTAATTAAATGTATTTTTTGAAGTTAAAAGTATCCCTGAAAGTATATATATTTTAAAATAAGTATTATTCATTTAATAAGCATTTGCAATTATCATATTGAGGCATGCCAGAACCATTTCACAGCAGGTTTCCCACCCACCCCCCCCCAAAAAAAAAATCAGATTCGAGAGATTTCACCGCATCACTAATTGCGACTGACATCAAATGGACTCTCTGACCAATGTGTTCAGCTTAAATCGAGACTATGTATTTATGCTTATATGTTTATATATAGCATCTCTCACGAACCAGAGGACGAGCTGAAACGAGCAGCCAGGCGGCTGAGCTGCTTCTACGAACAATCGCCCAAGCTCTGCAGTTCCCCTGTATATTAAGATATTTTCAGCCAATTGATGAGTGTTGATACGTGGGAGACCGGGGAGCCCGGAGAAAAGTCAACGCGTGTGAAGGAAGGCGACACTATCCCACGCAGCAGGGACAGATGACAAGAGCCCACACAGTATTCTGCACCATCTGGCCCCTGGGAAGGCAGTTATGGCTCATCATCGACGCGAACGGGAAGGGCGTTTAACAACATTTGTGGGTGTGATTCACCAACCCCCTCGCACACCTCCAGTGCTGGCTTACAAGCCCCACGTGCCACAGCCACGAGCACTAAGCAAATTTAAAACTTGGTGTCCTAGAGACAACTCTCCGTCCTGAATTAAAAGTGTTAAAAAGTTCTACGTCTAATTGACGGATATTGAATACAACGCTCTGCTGCACCTTGCACAGAAGCGGAGACTAACGGTAGCTACACTGCATTAAAATCTTACATTGTTAAGCAACACTAATAGCAATATTGCACAGGAGTTTACGATAACTGCGCTGCTGCTACTGCTACTGCGTGAGCTTTTGCGACAATGAAGCTGCCAGCACGGGGAGAGAAACGTCAAAACGACATGCCGAATCACACGTGCTAACAAAGAGACATCGAGAGGGCACGCCGATTTAAGCAAGGATCCAGCGACATGCGAACACCACGCCGCCGTTGTTCTATGCGTAGCCCAAAGCAGGCTTTGCGTATGCCCCGAGCATGCGCAATCAGAGGATGAGACGGGCTAATGACCCAAGTGCACTTCACGTGTGACTGGTGCGATTTTCCCATTGGCGCGCAAGCACCGATGCAAAACTCGCATTCGCCGTCAGCAACGCCTCGGCGGTGCCAATTTCGTTCGTGAAGTTGGCGAGGGAAATGTTGGGTCAGTTGATGATTTAAGTTTCGTAAACGATGACAATGAATGGATAAAAATGTGACGCAGACTATGATACTTAAAAATGCCGGCATTAGAAACTGCAGTGGCCTGAGGAAGGCCAACAGTTGGCACCACGTTACCATATTTGCAGAGTTTAACTCAGCAGTTTAACACGTAGGCTTTCGCGACCAATATCATCCATAATACAGGTTTTATGGGTTTGGTCGCGTAAATATAAATGTGTCGTTAAAGCCGCCATCACCCGACACAGCCAATTAGGCAGGTTTTGTCATGTAGACAGAACATGCCAAATCGTTACGAGTACAGCACACCAGTGTGTTGGAGAGCAAAGTCCCAACATTGAAAATCTGGGTATGATGTTTCACCAGTAACACAACTAGCATCCTCAGGTGACAGCCAAATTTGCGGAAAAATCATATACCGCATATACTCAGCATTATTTTACTCCGTGGGGTTATTATCATCATCGGTTGGAAATTTCTAGCGGCAAAAAAAAAACTTTACAAACGGCGTGATGTCGATTCTAAATGTGGAGGGGAAAAACACCGGAGCCAGAAAAAAATATCCACGCAGCCACGAGAGACTCGCAAACTCCAAATATACAGCAGGCTGTCAGAGCACACTGCCCATTGAACGCACCCCGTAACCTGCGCCGTATAATAGTGCCAAGGTGGCATTATTTGGGGGGGGGGGGGGGGGGAAGGTGGTGGGTGGGAATTTCGGGGCTCCCTCATGCAAATTTTTAATACAAGCGCTTGAAAAAAAACGTCCTGGCTCCGTAAGCCGACTAATGGAACGACTACAAAAATCCACAGGCTGTCGTCAACGAGATAAGATAAAAAAAAAACGGCAAATACATTAACACGGCTGCCCAACAGCAGAGATATTAACAGCAGGCTACCCATATTCTTGGTTCTTTCGGTAAAGTCACGTAGAAGGGAAACAATAAAATAATAAAAATATAAAACAATAACATTCTCACGACGTTTCGACTGCAACACAAGCAATCATCACCAGGTGTGAAAACCACAGCGCTGGACGGAGATTGACCGACTGCCGAGTCCGAGATAGCAATTTGCGCTGCGGCACTCTGGACACGTGGGAAATGTTGAGAACTCGCCCACAAGACAAAGACATTCTAGAGTTGACACCTGCACAGTTGCCATTAACAACGGTCTACTACACAGTCTGCGCAACATTTGCAGTTTGGACATTTATAGTGGCCAAATAAATTTTGATTTAAAGCTTTCGTGACTGCAGGGATTCATATTCTTGGTTCTTTCGGTAAAGTGACTTTACCGAAAGAACCAAGACTATAGTGGCCAAATACTTTAAACGCGCGATGCTGATTCTAAATGTACCACAGCAAGAATGTTTTTTTGCTGAAGTGAGAGAGAAATGCCGTGGTAAGTGGTTATATAGGTAAGAGAGGGGGGGGGGGTGTGGTCTTCCCACCTGATGATGATCGAAACGTCGTGATTAATTTAATTTCTACCTACGTAACTTTACCGAAAGAACCAAAGAGTGTGGATCCCTGCAGTCACGAAAACTTCAAAACACGATTGATTCTAAATGTGTTAGGGAAAAACAGAAGGACCCGGAGAAAAATCGACCTGACCACGACTTACTGCGGCATACCCTGCTAGGTGGATGGAAGCGGAGGCATTCTAAGAAGCTTACAGTGTATTATAATCATGATTGAATCTCATTACTCTGCGTCGAGACTGCAAGCCGAGACTTTAATAAAATACACACCACGCACCGATTTGAACGAACACGGACCCGCTGCAGCGGCACAACATGGCTCGATTGGCAACCCTGACACAGAGCAATAAAAAATAATTTAAACGTCAGGTTAGCTGCGGTCACAAAAAATATATATGAAATATGTTCAAGCGCGTAAAGCTTTTAAGGCTATTATAAAGCAATGAACGAAGAACATATGAAGCAACAACTTGACTGTTACAATCACAAGCGAAAGGCAATTTTGTATCCTTATGACACACAGTAACCCGGGGTTGCGGAAGAACAGACTTGCAGAAATCCGACTTCACGGAAAATCTCACCATAAACCACGTCAACATGTGGAAATGTTTTGCGTTAGTTACGCAAGCGAAAGTAGTGCGGCGCGGTGAGCGTGCGGATGAATACCGCCGAGCGAGGAGGCGTGAAAAGGCAGGGCTGCAGCTCCCTCTGCAGCCCTGCCTTAGAACTTATGGCTGCTGTTGTTGACCCCGATGATGCAATTCCCATCGCCTCTCCTTCTTCCTCATCTAGCAAGGAAGTCCTTCGTGATTTACAACTATTTCGGCTACGGGATTTTATCTTGATTTCATCTTGATTTCTGGGGGGTGAAATTGCTCAGTTTCGGACGTGCAGAAAATTTGGTGTTGCGAATCGTTCTCGGGAACCTAACCCCTCTGCAACCCAGGGACTGTCTTACATAACATATAGAGATTACAAAAAATAAATTACCTTTCTCATGATAAGAGCCGATTGAGCTTTGGACACGATCACAATTATGATTTGACGGAGAGTTGACGGAGAGTCTGAAGCAAGACTGATTCTGAAACCAGTCTTGCAAAATATAAAGGATTAAAAGACCACAAGTGGCATGGAGGCTCACAGGTTTACCGGCAGGGCCGAGTTTGTTGGAAACAAGACACACACACGTAGACCACGACATGCGTATTTGTCCATGGCCTGGTTGCGACAAACGAAGATTCAGCAAAAGCAGCAACGATCCAGGTTTCAGAGGGTGGTTATGCAGTCGCTTGGCCACGCTGGGAAAAAATAAAACAGAAGAGGAACACAGAGTTACACTCCATCATGCATTTTTTATTTCCTTGATCACTCAGGAAAGCCGGAGTCTTACGAATATTTTTCAGGAGGATCGCGACAAGTTTTCACAGCGGTTGGTGGTGGGGGCGACGATGCCCGTGTAAAATCCAACCGCTACGCAATTTTACGGGAAATTTTTACCAAACGCGGCACATTTGGACCGCGCCACCACCACACAATGGCCTCAACCCCCTCCTCTTGCGAACGACGTCACGGGATCTTTAACGTCCGCCGTGAACCAAAGCAAGACGACGCACGGTATTTTTTGTGTTCACTTCAATGCACCCCCAGTATTGATCGGCGCGGCCACTGGATTAGAGGCACAAGCCTTTGAAACGAACGGCCGAGGGGGCCACCGCCAGGCAAACGTCACCGCTCTTATCTGCGCCATCACTTGCGCCTCTCACGCATCACATCGAGGCGCGCTGTGGCAGTCCAGCCTAGGGTACCGTACAGCGGATTCTGCGGATGCATATCTGGTCACCATCTTCCCTCCAGAGCGCCACTCATGCCGTCTCATTCCATACGTCAAAGCGGCGTCCCATGCATTGACAATCTCGTGACTATTATTTGTTCTCGGTGTCCTTGAGACAATTTTTTTATTAAAAAGTTTTTTTATTTTACCAGCTAAGGCCTCACTGAGCTATGTAGCTCTTTTTGAGAAGCGACCTGACCACAAATGATGTCTCAAGCAAGTGACTTATCACGTGACAATTTATAGCAGCCAAATACTCTAAAGGCACGTTCATAAATGTGGAGGGAAAACCGGAGGACTCAGAGAAAAATCCACGCGACCACGGGGAGACATTCAAACTCCAAATATACAGCAGGCATCAGGGTAGGGATCGAACCCACACACTCCTGCATACCAGGCGAGGGAATTAACATCCCGCACACCATGGAGCCCAACCACGATCTTTCAGCTCTTGCAGAGGTGCCGTATGACCTATGTAGGGCCAGCACAGTACGGCCCTGGCATGGCTTGGATGTTCCAGAGGAAAAAAAGTTATATTAGTGTCGTGGGAGAGGAAAGGGAGATTAGAAAGGGTTTACTTACAAGAGGTTGATTATGGTCTTCCGTCTTTCTCACACTGGCAGAGTTGGGAAACACAACACGTGACGTTAATATCCACGAAGCCTTGGTGTTTGCTGCCAAGATTATAATAATAAAACTGATATGTACAGGAAATTGTATCCTTCTCTTGCGATTGCCCCACCCCCCCCCCCCCCGTATATACGAAGGTAAAAAAACGCAGCCATGCGATTGCTTGCTCGAGATAATTCGAGGCGAAGGCGCCTCCACTAGAGCAGGAGCTAGACAGCCCCTTCAGGATGGAAATTTTGTCCAGGTCGCTTCTGAAAAAAAGCCACATAGCTCAGTGGGCCTTACCTGGTAAAATAAAAAAATAGTTTGAGTTTAGTCTTGGAAGTGGGAAACATGCACGCTTTACCCCACCACACGCAACCTGCCCATCAACGAAACTATTAAGTATTTATATTTGGGCTATCATTTGTGACCGAGCCACAAATGATAGCCCAATGAAGTGGCTCATCACATGGCAATGTATTGGAGCCAAATGCTTTTAACTCATGTTTCTAAATGTGGAGGGAAAAACCAGAGGACTCGAAGTAAAATCCATGCGACTATGGGGAGAGAAGCACACAAACTCCAAATTTACAGCAGGGGTCGTGTCGAACCAATGGCTCTACTGCATACCAGGCGAGGTTGTTAACATCTCGCCACTGGTGTTGGGCCGTAAGCAGGAATCGAATGTAGGCGGGCGGGTTTGTTGGGCAGTGCGCGAACTGCTACACGGCGCTGCTCCCCGCATAGTACCAGTGTCGGATTTAAGCAAAAATCTAAGTCAAGATACAACTTAGGGGACTCACATTATGAGGGGCCTCTAAATAAAATAAAACATGAACTGATAGCTCAAACAAGTCGCTTATCATCACGTGGAAAATTATAGTAGCCAAATGCTCGAAACGCATATTTGTAAATGTGGAGGGAAAACCCCGAGGACCCGGAGGAAAATTCCACGCGACCACGGAGAGAGGGGCAAGAAAACTCCAAATATTCAGCAGCAGGCATCGTCAGGGTCGGAATCGAACCCACGACCCTCCTGCATACCAATGCGAGATAGTTAACATCTCCCAGCCACCGCGGCGCCCCCTAATCCGACCGTGCCAGCGCGCACGGCAAAGGACATGCACCGAAAGTTCAACGGAGCTACTTACTTTTTTTCTTTCTCTTTCCAAAGGTAGGCAAAAATTCCCGCGGCGATTGCCGCGACCAAGAAAAGAACCCCCAGAACGATGGCGCTCACATTCGGCGGCTGCGGGGGCTGCGTCGGCGGCGGCTGAGGAGCTGCGAGAAAAGGGCGGAGGAATCTTGAGCTCGACTCGACACGATAACAATTTCCGCCGTGATTCTCTTACTATGTTGTCCCAAAATATAAGTGTATTAAATGCTAAGGTTGAGTACAGAAGAACCCCCGCTCAACGACGGTTATTGGTTCGACGAGACCGGTCGTCAAGAGATTTGGTCGTCAAGCGAGGAGAGGAAATAAACGTTAAAGCTCTAATTAGTTCCGATAGCATTGAAAGTTAAACATTCTCACCCAAAAAACGTACTTTATAATATTTAAACAATGGATATTAATAAAGATACTAACATCATAAAAATATCATATTAAAATAAACCCAGTTAATCAATGCATTAATTAATATTTACTGCACCTACAACAGCCCGTCGTTAACAGGGGAATGGTCAGTAACAAAACACATTAGGCTCTATGGAGGCACTACAATACACTACTATACACTACACTATACACTACACATTGGGCTCTATGGAGGCACTGCACTACTATACACTATACACTACTATACATTACACTACTATACACTACACATTGGGCTCTATGGAGGCCCATCGTTAAGTGATAAGTCATTAAAGAGGGGTTTCTACTGTACGTGTTGTAATCCGGAGAACACGTCACAGGTCTTCCAGAAGATGCGTTGTTTTTAAAATCCCGCTGTTGAGGGTTCACCTTCAAGAAGACGCCTCCAACCCATTATAAATCAGCGCTTCCCAGTCAATACTTCTGGAAGACGGACTCTCCACGGGGAGTACATCGTCTTCCACAAGATGTGTTTGAGATAGTTCGGGGACCATCTGCGACGCCACACAATCGCTCTGCACTGCCCCCCCCCCCCCCCCCCATGCAATACCGAATGAAACGGGTGCCCTCCAGTTTGCAAATCCAGCGAGCGAATCAATATACATATAGGCAGCTTCATCATTTTAACAATTTAATTATGTTTAATGACACTTGGAAAAGAAATAGATACCATGAACAGAGTGATGGAAGTGACAGACTTAAAATGTACGTTTTGCAAGGGCATTAACTTTTTTTTTTGTAAAACTAATGCAAGATAAGTTACATAAGTAAAGCCCAATTTTTTGCAAATTACAAAAAATACCCCTCAGAAATGATTTTTGTAGCCTATCCGGCTTGAATGCAAACCGCATCTTGTGTGTGTGTGTTATCTGTGCGTGTGGAGCGGTAGTGCCAATGGCGGGGCCAGGATTTTCAGGTAGGGGGGGCAATCCCTCCAGCAATGACAAATGATAGGAGTTGTTAGTAAGGACTTGTCCCTTGCTTTTTATTCGACGCGTATGCGGCGATGGCGCAGCCATCGATCGAGGGTCGAATTTGAACCGTAAGTGATCAGCATCGCGCTCACTGGAGGTGTTTGCCTTCAGGTAAGTCGCGTACTGTATACGCGACTGCACAGAATTCTGTGAGTCACTTATAACCGCTTTTCCGTTACTTATTGCCAATTATGGACTCAGATTATCGTCCTATCATCTCATAGAGGCCCTGGCACGCAATAATATGCTAAACAGTGGCAGTGGTGGGGGGGGGGGGGGGGGGTCGCAAAATGCCGATTAATTACTAATAACCCCCCAATGATCCGATCAAAATTAGGGATTTAGATCGGATCATTGGGGCGGCACGTGGCATTCCACCCCGCTCACTGGCTCCGCCAGTGGTTAGTGCAGCGGGTAGCGCGTTGCGCTACGAACCCGATGACCCGAATTAGATTTCTGCTCACGTCCAACACCGGTGACGATTATCTGAAACGGTCCTGGACCCCCCCCCCCCCCCCCCCAGGTCAACTTAGCCTCAAATGAATACCTGGTACGGTGTGTAACCATCGTCACTGGGGAGAGAAAGGCGTCCGGGCATGATGCTAACCACCCACTCCCTCGTGTACCGTGCCAGCCTTCATCTCTGCTCGCTAACAGCACTTGCCCCGATAATCTGTGAAGGATATACGGGGGATCTTTGTCTTTGTGTGAGGATTGGTAGCAGCACAGCGTTCAAAAGCACACCACGTTACGAACCCGAATCCCGTTCCCAAATCACGGCGGACGTGAAGCGATTGACTCACCATTGACCTTGAGAGTGAAATGCATTTCTCTGGCTATGGGCGGGAAGGTAGTCACCGAACACTTGTAATCACCCTCGTCCTCTGCGGTGACGTTGCTGATCAACATTTCAGAAGCCATGTTGTGCAGAACCCCTATGGTCACGCGTCCTATGTAGTTGTCCTGGGCAAAACAAGGGGCGACGGGGTGGGCGATTGAGAGGTGGCCGGGTGACTCAGGAGGGTCCAAAGACGCTGGGGCCGGCACCGTTGAGTGAATGATTGTGGAATGGATTAAAAGGTAATAATATAAAATTACTTTTTTTTCAAGGATGTGCAATCTTGTAAATCTGTAACAGTGGTTACGGATTTACAAGAGGGGTAGTGTAGCTGGAATGTAATTTACTCGGCAATTAAACTTCCAACGAGCTGAGATCTCGGGGCCAAATCCGGGAGGTTGCAGCTGGCCCCAGCCCAGTAACGAATAACTAACAGGTCCCTGCAGAGTGGGCTGGTAGGACAAGTCTCTGCGCTGTCTATTGCTGATTTTACACCCAACAGCACGAGATTTCACTTCGTGAAAGGGGACGGACAAACGGACGGACACATTAATCTATTGCAGGCTGGTACACTCAGTTTACAACTTCGTTCCTACCAGTATTATTTCCCTTCTACGTGACTTTACCGAAAGAACCAAGAATATGAATCCCTGCAATCACAAAAGCTTTAAATCGAAATAAAACAATACTCGGGTATACATTTGGTTGAGCAAATAATTTGATCAAATTCCAGCTCTGAGAATGAAAAGAATATCCGATTCTACTGGCATGTGATGAACATCGCTCTCACGGCGGCAAGGCAAAAAAAGTGAAGAAAAAATGATATGCGGCAATCGTTGTCGTAAGGTGGCATTTTAAATCGTATCGTGACCAATTACATCGCAGCAATAACTTGGAACAGTCGCTATTGTTAAGGGGGGGGGGGGGGGGGGGGGCTGACTGCACTTACCGGGATGTGTATCATGTTGTCTGGGTTGAGTATCGCCACTGTACTGTCTTTAGCCTTTTTTTTCCACTCCATCTGCGTGAAAGTAACGTTTTCCGAGGCTGCAAAGAGCATGCCACCGACAACCACGGAAAGTTATGGACTTGTCGCTCACAAGCGGATATCGATATCTGCCGCATGTTTTCAATGGATCACTGTGAGAGAATATGGGTCAATTGTGCGAGTCTATGGGCCTCCAACCCATGGGTCACTGTGCGAGCTCGTGGATTTCTTTGCGAGACTCTGGGTCCCCGTGTGAGGCTACGGATCTCTACTGTGAGTCCATAGTTGTCCAAGTCGATGGATAACTTTGCAAGTCCATGGGTCTCCGTCTGAGTGTGTAGATTATGGGTGCCTGCGAGTCTACAAGTCACAAATGTTTACCCGGTGTTAATAAAGTAATCTGGGCTCGCACACAATCATTAAAATTTGCCAAATTCCAAAAATTACATAAGTCGGTAAACGAATATTACTTGTGGTCCCGAATGTGACAGAAAACTTAGCAAAGATTCTCCTGAAACAGTATTGTGAGAGCCGGTGAGGCTTTTACATGTAAACAAATGTAATAATAATACTGGATAAGACACACTTCCAACTTTTGATTTAAACACACACAAATGAAAACATATTATCCAGAGAAAATCGAGCGATTACGCACACGTACCAACATAGCTGCACACCATCTTTGCGGAATCTCCATGGGTGACGGTGATCGTTGTCTTCTTTTCGGCTGTTGAAAAACAGAAAATTTTATCACCACTCGCACTATAAGAGGTCTCCACGGGGAATTCCGCGAATGCCCTTGGCACCTCATCATTGCTGGCTTGCTTCTGCTACATCTCACCACCAGCTCCGGCTTTGGTCTTCTCATTGTCTCGGTTGACCCCTCCTTCAAGGAAAGCTCTTACAGTCTCATCACCACCATCACTTGACATGATTATTTTTGTATTGTTGGTTGTCATTACTCTCTGACCTGCCCCTTCAGTATAACTGTGATAAAGAGCTTCATTAGCTCATCAGATGTCTCCAGAACAAATAAAGATTCTGATTCTAATTATTAACCAGCTGAGGGCGACACCAAGAGCAGATTTTAAAAACAGAATCTCTGCAGTGCTGGCTTGAGTCTCTTGACATGGCCATGATGAACCCTCTTGAGAGACAAGAGACACACACTGCGTAGTGTTTCTGCATCGCCATTACAAACCTCCAGAGTCCATTCAAACATACCTCCACACAACACATTTGACGAGGATTGAAGCCACTTTTTCAGTCTGTAATAAAAATAAGGGAAATCTCTACGAGCCAGACATCCGGTCACTGGTCTATGTCCCCCGATGTGTGCATAAGAATTAGTCCAACACGCATTTACAGGAAGCTCCTGCTAAGGCAACCATTGTCAACTCAGCGCTATCTTAACGGGAAAAAGAACCCACAAACGCTGAGCAGGACGGTTTGGAAACAATTCTCTCGGCCCTCCCAAGAGTGCCGCGGCAAACCTTCTTGCCGACATGGTATATCGAACTCCAAGTGAAATGGCCAATTTTTTTTTACAAGTCAGATCGCAACGCGAGTAAAATGGTAATGGTGTGTCGTACACCCCCTGCTTCAGCACACCCAGTTGGTTGGAGAGTAACCCACACGCAATTAACAATTAGGAGTCCACGTTTTATTGGGAGTTGCAACCAGCATCATCCAACCTGCATCATCAGGCGATGGCCAGAGCAGTGAAAGATCACCCATCATCCTGGGGCCTTAAATAAGTGATGTAATTTTAGCTACTCCATCACCATAAAGTATTTTTTTTATCATTACCATCAGCACCTTATACTAAGGCGCTTGACAATGCTTTCCGACCATGGTACAAAATGTCATAAGGGAAGGATGGGTGGGGTAGTATGGCCGTTAGTAACCGTGTTTGTAAAATGAATGAGATGTGGCAGCAGGGGAAGGATGTGATGGTGCCAGGGGGGTTGAAGGAGGAATGGGTTGAGTGTGATAGTGGATGAGGCTGGTAGAAGGGGGTAGCGTATCAACATATCTGGATTAAAATAAATTACTTTCGTGTCGACCAGACGAGGACATCAGTCGTGTTTAAGGTAACATGAAAACACAACACGTATGCCGCTAAACACATCTCTCGTTCATAAATGAACGGGAGACCATGCAACCCAAACTGTGGACTATATAGTAAAGCAATGCAGTCTGCGCTATTTCAATGGAGAAAAACAAAAAATTCATGGACTCTCTCCTCTTGTGGCTCTCAGAGCTCAACAAAGGCATTTAGCTCCTGAAAATATTGCCACGCGGAAGAACACCGAAAGAATATTCATGAACATCACCCACGGCTGATAGACCCGGTGTCTGACAACGGACATTACGAACCCCCTGATAAAGAGAACGGGGCAGACAGAAATCCTGCTGCTTGAACACAACACTTCAGCAGTCGGTTCATTTGCACGAGGTCAGTGTTGTTCATTCCAAGGCCCTGTGGGCCACTGGAGACCCCTGGTGGCCTTTAGTGCGGCCCCTGACATGTAGCCTCCCGACAATACACAAATGTGATAACACCCCTTTGTAGGTGGTGTGGCGGCCCTCACTGACCATGTCTTATCCGCAAAAGTGGCCCCCCTCTGAAAATGCTATTTCACTATTTTTACTTTACCAGGTGAGGCCCTTTTTGAGACGCGACCTGGCCACAAATGGTAACTCAACGAATTTGCTCATCATGTGGAAATTTATAACAGCCAAATATTCTAAGCGTATGTTTATAAATGGGGAGGGAAAACCCGGAGGACCCGGATAAAAATCCACGTGACCACGGGGAGAACATGCACATTCCAAATATACAGCAGGCGTCAGGGTCGGGATTGAGCACACGACCTCCTGCATACTAGGCGAGGTAGTTAACATCTCTTAGCCACCGTGTGTTAAAAAATGACGGCTATAAGAATAAACACTGCTCTAGGCCATTATGAACCCTTCCAATGAACCGCCCAGCTGGAATTTGCCTTTATTTTACCATTTCATTTTCACCACCCTCCCCAATTCTGAAAGGGAATTTTTGCAGTTATTTTTATACACTCATTTTTTTCTTATAACCGTAAGAATATAGGAAGGAAGACTGCTAGGGTAGGCTCACGTCAGTAAGAATGCCACCAAAAAGCAATAGAAATGTCATCGCAAGCAAAAGTTAATGGAGAAAGAGGTCTAAAAATAAATTGACGCGTCTACAGTACACGTATGCAAGTGGGCGAGTGTGTGCAGCGGTGGCATGGTGAATAGCACGCTGCGCTACAAACACCGAGTCCAATTCCCTCTCACGGTCAACATTAATCACGAATATCTGAGGTTCTGGGCCCCCCTAGGTCGACTCGGCCTTAATCGAGTAGCCTTGCGCAGTCTATATACACTAGCATTGGGGAGGCAAAGGTGGCCGTGTGTGGCGCTGTTCAAATCACCTGCTCATGCACCATGCCGGCCTTCACTAGGTGCTCATGAAGAGCACATGCCCCTAACGGTATGTTAAAGGCTATACGGGGAGGGGGGGGGGTGGAGGAGGCACTACAACAGTGGAAAGATTTGGAAATATCAACAAAATACGGTATACGGAGGAGCAGCAACAAACTCCAAGGAGAGGAGGTTATTATTTGGGCGTGTTCCTTCCTTTGGCTGACCACTGGAAATGGTCATGACGACAGGATATGGTCTCTTCAAGCCATGACGGGTCCTGCCCAAGCTCGCTTATTTTTCTTCTCAGTCAGCATAGCAGGCCATCTTTTGCTGCGGTGGATGTGTTCCTGCAGAGTAACGCGCTAAGCGCAAAAAGAAACGAATTCCCCATAAATAATATAGTAACAATAAAGTCTGGCGAGATACGATGTGCTAATACTAAGCACACTGCGCAGTGAGATGGCGGGGGCAAATAACCGAGGGTACAACACCGCCGCGTGACTGTATCATACCGCGTACCGTATCAGCTCAAGAAAGTAGTTCGTCGTTGATCAGTGAAAGACCGCATTATAACGGTGCTCATTCCACGTTGTAACAGTGCACACACGTTCCGCATTGTGCGAAATGCGCGGCCTGAATGTAAGAAGCCTAACGAGCTGACATTTTCTATACAGACTCATCTCGCGTGACATTTAATATTGCATTAAATAAACCGGTCCAGGCAACGCCGATCCTAGGCCTGTGTTTTGGACTAAATTTTAATCATTAATACTCGTATACTTTTGCCACCCCCCCCCCCCCCCCCCCCCCATTTCAAACCACGAATGGTCACGACCAAATCTAGATTTGAAGCTTTCGTGGCTGCAAGCATCCATACTCTTTGGTTCTATTCGGTAAAGTCACGTAGGTAAAAAATCAAACAACACAAATCACGACGTTTCGGCCACAACACAAGCGGCCTTCATCAGGTGAAGGGACCAGACTGTCTCGAGGACAGCGCTGGAGTGAAACACAGCCAAGCTCAGACCGCGACCTTGAAGCTGTGCGAGAGAAATTAAGGTGCCTTGACAAAGGAATTAGCATAGAAATTTGCATTTTAATAGGCGGACTTAGCATGATGAAAGGTAGGGAGGGGGTCGACCTGTGCAGGCTGGCGAGGGGGCACGGCAGCGTCCACATGCTGGTGGTGTGAAAAGGGGATTTTAAGAAGTTTGGGGTACGACTACTTGAAAAATATACTGTACCATTGAAACCATCTTCTCGTCCAATCAGACCTGCTATTGTTATTTTGGTGCTGCTGTAAATTTCCATATTATGGAAGGCCACTTCTTTAAGCTATCGTTTGTGGCCAAGTTGCTTCTGAAAAATAAGCTAATATCTCAGTGGGGCTTTACCTGCTAAGATAAAAAAAAGTTTAATTTTATAAAGTGATTTGTTTACCTTTCCTATAGTGTACTTTGCACTCATTGCGTGTTTGTATTGCTCGTTGTAACATTCTGACCCGCCCCTACAGTACACCTGTGAAAAAGAGCTTTTTAGCTTGCCTTTGAATATCTTTGTCGCAAGATTTGTCGAACAAATGAACACACCTGATGATGACTGTTTGTGTTACAGTCGAAACGTCGTGAGAATTTTATTGTTTAATATATATTTTAATGTTTCCCTTCAACGTGACTTTACCGAAAGAACCAAGAATACAAATGAACACTGTTCAGAGCTGAAGAGACGGTCGCCGCCCAATGACCAAATTTTCAGGACAGCTACTCGTACATTTTATACGGAAGCCTTCACGACCAATATTTTGATACGCGAGTTAATTTTGGGGGTTATTTTGTATAGCGTCACTTTTTTGAACCATGGGATCACCCCCAACCAATCCGACCAAAACCAATAAAATCCAGTGGTGCGGTAAATTACGCTATGCCCGTTGAGTTTCTTATCAGGGAAGATGAAAAAGCAGGCCAACATTTATAAAGTACGCTTCTACAGGTTTCGCTGGAGATGACAACCAGCATCATCGTGTGCTTATCACACGAAAAACAAACCTCGTTTCTCACACTAAGATGCCATTCTTATGACTTGGCTTGCTGGTGTGGCCCTACAGTCTCTCTCATTACATTGACGTCGCTATATATAAACTTAAATAACGACCGTGGCCCCCCAGAGTCAATGCTTAACAAGCTCTTGCGAAATCGGCGATCGTCGTCTGTGGCGGTTGCTTCTCTAAAAACGTGAAAATGCACGCAGATATCATTCCTACCCCCCCAACGTGTAATGCGCCAATAATCCATCGGCAGGGTTAGCAACACACCGTGGGTCGTGGAGTTGTGGTGGGAGCGGTGGTGTGGCGAGCTTCGCTGCCCTACGAACCCGGCGACCCGAGTTCGATTCTCCGCTCACGGCCAACAGCAGTGACGACTATCTGAACGGGTCCTGGGCCTCCCCTAGGTCGACTCGGTCTCAAATGAGTAACTGGTGTGGTGTGTAGTAAACATCGCCACTGGGGAGACAAAGGCGGTCGGGCGTGGTGCTGGCCACCCGCCCCCTCGTGTGCCATTCCGGCCTTCATAGGTGCTACTCGCTAACAGCACTTGCCCCTACAGCCTGTTAAAGGCTACACGGGGGATCTTTGTCTTTCTTGATTTGAAGCTTTCGTGACTGCAGGAATCCATACTCTTTGGTTCTTTCGGTAAAGTCACGTAGGTAGAAAATAAAATAAATCACTCATGTTTGCGGGCGCAACACAAGCGTCCATCATCAGGTGGGAAAGCATTGGTCTGCTGCTGAGGCAGACTGTTTTAAAAGGTTTGAAATGGGTGTAGCCCAAGGGTCATAAAGAAGTGCCCGGGGCTAGTGATATTAATGTGAGAAATTGGCATGTAAATGTATGACCCTTGAGCTACACCCATTTAAAACATTTTAAAACAGTCTGCCTCAGCAGTAGACCATGGCTTTCACACCTGATGATGGACGCTTGTGTTGCACCCGAAACGTCGTGATTTATTTTATTTTCTACCGACTACGTGACTTTACCGAAAGAACCAAAGATTATCTTTGGTTCTTTGTTTAACACCAACTACAACAGGTCAACTGTCAGAGAACTTTGCGGTTACAGGAAGCAAAGTTAGACGATAAACGTGAACTGGATTCAAGCGGTTTGTTGCGATCGAAATGTCGTGATATATTTCTTTTATATTTTGTTTTATTTTTCTACCTACGTGATGACTTTTACCGAAAGAACCAAAGAGTATGGCTTCCTGCAGTCACGAAAGCTTCAAATCAAGATGGAATCACAATTGTTCAATTGGGAGGTTACACAATGGCTAGATTTTAACTACCTCACAAGGTATACAGGAAATCGTGGGTTCGATCCTGACCCAAGAAGCCTGCTATATATTTGGATTAACGTGGGTTTTCGCGACCAATATTATCCATACTAGAGGGTTTTTTTGGTTTAGATCGCGTAAATATAACAGGTCCCTGCAGGATGGACTGGTAGGACAAGTCTCTGCGCTGTCTATTGCTGATTTTACACCCAACAGCACGAGATTTCACTTCGTTAAAGTATTGAAAGGGGACGGATGGACGGACACATTAATCTATTGCAGGCTGGTACACTCAGTTTACAACTTCGTTCCTACCAGTATAAATGTGGTGTCGTTAAACCGGCCACTGCCCGGCACAGCCAATTAGTGCGGGTTTGTCACGTAAAACAGAACGTGCCAATTCGTTACTAGCACAGCACTAACCGGCGCGTTGGAGAATAAACCCACTACAACATTCACAGTTGCCAATTGTAAATGTTGGGTAGGGTTTGTAAATATTTTGCTGCTGCTAGAAATGTCCCCGACGGCGGCCTGGTCGCTATATACAGCTTCGCTGGGCCTTATCTGGTAAATTAAAGGTTACATTTTTTAGCTTAGTCTATGGGTCTCTACGCATCTTTATGGGTCTCTACGCATCTTTATGGGTCTCTACGCATCTTTATGGGTCTCTATGTATCTCTATGCTATACATGTCCACACGAGGAAGCCGCTTGTCGTTTGTGTTGGCCAGATCGCTTCGGAAAATAGCCGCTCAGTGGCGTCTTCTTACCTCGTAAGAATGTGTTACTCCTTTGTTAACCGTGTCCACACGCCAGAAGAATAATCATGGACGGGTAAATCCGAAACCCACTGCTGGATGGAAGCTTTTCAACTCTCCCCAAACCCCTCACACTGTAGCGGCAATGCGTGGGGCTGACTTGACCATACTTCACCATGCCTGGTCAATCGTGGGGTCCGGGTTGTTTTGAGGACTGCCAACATTCCCATCGAGGAACAAAAAAAAAAGCCTTCCTAAATCAACGCTTAATGTAGGCGTTACACTCGTCGTAAAGGCGACAAATACGTTATAGTTACAGCAACAAATTACACAAATCTCGACTTATAAATATGTACTTTCGGTTTTCACTTCCTGTTCGGGGGTTTTCCATTTTTTTTTATTCACGTACGACGCGTCCGATTTTCATTCGTCTCGTCTCATTCCACGCGGAACACCTTCCTATTTTCTGTAAATTAATGTCAGATTTGTATTACAACGCGTTAAAACTTTACCCCTCAGGACTCCCACCACCCCGCCCCGCCATCATCGCCTACGGCTCACGGACGGACGCACATAACACGCAGGCGAGAAACACTTCCCTTTATTAATAAAACAAACAACACCCCCCGCCCTCCCCGTGACGACGACACAAACACACTCTCATCACCTTTCGTGAGGACGACGATCGCCGCCAACGCCACGATGAACCTGACCGACATCTTCGCCGCCTTTGCCGCTTTTTATTCAAGAGGCGAAGCGCGCGCGCGGCAAACCTCCAGCCTGCGGCCTTGCATCCGACGGCGCTTGGCCGCTTAATCGAGCCGCCAACCGATTCGCGGCGCTCCGATTAAAAAAAAAAGTTGGCGGCGAGTTCGCACGCCCCACACCGCCATTTCCCACCCCCTCCAAACAACGTCGAATCAGCAACGGGCGGAGCAATAATAATGAATGATAATACGAATCCGATGTTCGCTCTTACTGGCAATAAAATGTTGTGCACGTTATGATGTGCAAAGGGGCCGTCCATAAATGACGTCACGCACTTGGGGGACGGGGGGGGGGTCAGACAATTTTTTACGATGTGTGACGAGGGGCGGGGGGGTGTTTGAGAAATGTGACGTCACATCAAAATGCGCAGCTTTAAATAAATATAGACAACACGTTCTACTTAATTAAATTGACTTTTTAATAAACGTTTTCTCCTACGACATCAGAGTGCAGCGCCACATTAAATACGCACTACAATGACAATAGTTTAAAGTGATTTGAAGCATGTTTTATTTTCAAAATGTAAATATGGTTTTGTGGGGGGGGGGGGCAGAGCTTTGTGACGTCATATTTGAGGGGGGTCTAACTTTTTATGACGCCGTGTGACGAGGGGGGGGGGGTCAAAAATCGTCCAAAATCGCGTGACGTCATTTATGGACGGCCCCAAACACGATGCAGGTACAATATTTGCAAAGTATCGCAAACTGCATTGACCGCACGCAGTTACTTGTGGTATAACACGCAAAACAAAAGGTGATCTAAATATTGACTTAAAGCTTTCGTGACTGCAGGAATTCATATTCTTTGGGTTTTTCGGTAAAGCCACGTAGATAGAAAATAATAATCGCAACTCAAGCAATCGTCATCAGGTGAAAATATAGCGGGAGAGCTGCTGAGATGGGAAAATATATGGCGTATTTTGTGTTGGGGAGTTACGTGTTACGGGTCCGGTTCTAATCTCTTCTACATTACAGTGAGGGAAAAAGTATTTGATCCCCTACTGATTTTGTACGTTTGCCCACTGACAAATAAATGATCAGTCTATAATTTTAATGGTTGGTTTATTTGAACAGTGAGAGACAGAATAACAACAACAAAATCCAGAAAAACGCATGTCAAAAATGTTACAAATTGATGTGCATTTTAATGAGGGAAATAAGTATTTGACCCCCTCTCAATCAGAAAGATTTCTGGCTCCCAGGTGTCTTTTATACAGGTAACGAGCTGAGATTAGGAGCACACTCTTAAAGGGAGTGCTTCTAATCTCAGCTTGTTACCTGTATAAAAGACACCTGGGAGCCAGATATTTTTCTGATTGAGAGGGGGTCAAATACTTATTTCCCTCATTAAAATGCAAATCAATTTGTAACATTTTTGACATGCGTTTTTCTGGATTTTGTTGTTGTTATTCTGTCTCTCACTGTTCAAATAAACCTACCATTAAAATTATAGACTGATCATTTCTTTGTCAGTGGGCAAACATGCAAAATCAGCAGGGGATCAAATACTTTTTTCCCTCACTGTACGTGTAAAAATATATTTCGGCTCGCTGGTCTCGTCATGAAACTGCAATGAAAAAGCACCAGGGGAGGCAGCTATCACATCTGCCTCACTGAGGGGGATGTGTCTAACACGCCCCCCTCAGAGAGGCCACGCCCCCTCAGTGAGGCCACGCCCCCTCCGTCAGGCCACGCCCCCTCACTGTGTGAATCTGGCTCTGACACTAGCCATTGCTTCCCCAGCCATTGACGTCACCGCACGTCACTGGACCAATGACACTTTCGCGGGCACGTGCCCCTGGAATCTTCATTGACCAGCCGAGCCGTGTGATTGCATCGGGTTCGCCAATCACCCGAGCAGAAGCCGTTGTATGCGGCACGGTCTGATGGAGGTGCACTGCTCCACCTTGTGTGTTGTGTTGTATTTTGTAATGCTCATGGAGCATGGACATCCATCACTGCGCCTGGTTCGTCAGTGCGTCGGGTTCATCGGTGTGTTGGTTTCGTCGGGTTATACACAAGCAAGTCAGACAGTGCCACGCTGTGTCGGTCGGACAAGCGCACACAAATCTACAGGCACAAACATTGCTCAGTCATCGCGCGCCTTTATTGAGAACTAGCGGTAAGTTCCCGGCGTTGCCCGGGCGAAAAAGGCAGACACACACATGGACTTACAGACATCGACCCACACACATAGAAACACATCGACTTAGACACACACACATATATATGGTTAAACCCATGATGGATCGTTAGCAGGCCAGCCTAAATGTTTCTAACCGGCGAAGATGTTCCATTAGGTGGGTGCACGTTTCGCAAGCGTAGAGAAGGGAGGGAATTACCGTGGCCGAGAAGACCTGGAGCTTCATATGCTGTATCACCCCTCTGTGGCCGGGTTCACAATGTGAAGAGCCGAGACGGCTATGTTTTGTGGGAAAGGCGAGAGGGGTGAGGAAGTCAGACACATTTGGTGAGCATTGTGTGGACTGCGGGTGTTGGAGAGTAAAACCCACTAAAACATTTACAATTTGTTGTACGACGTTTCGCCAGTAATTACAACAACAAGCATCATCAGTCTGAGTTGGTGATAAATCACCCTAGCCTGGCACGGGCGTTGTGGTGAATGTTGTTGTTAACAACATGGGACATTTCTTGCCAGTGTCAAAGTATATGAATAGGTTTGACCCTTTCTGGCAATAAAACATTTGTGTTAAGATGTTAAAACACCAAACAGAAACCGTTGGCAAGAAATCAAGTCTGCAGTAACCACACTTACGTGTGGTGAACATGCAAACAAACATAATGCTCTGATAAAAAAAAATGGCATTGTCTTCATTCCTTGCAAACGGTATGTTTGGTGTTTGAACATCTTAACACAACGGTTTTATTGCCAGAATGGGTAAAATCTATTATCATACTGTTGTTTGTTTTCTGTTAAAAGTGGACAGTTTAAATATTGCACGGGTCTAGACTTTGTGATGAAATCACGATTTGTATTAAAGCGAGGTTTGACCACAAAATGCAACGGCGTTTCCTGCCATAAATGGAGTGGCTGTGAAAGCGGATTTATTATTTACTAGCAGGAAGTACCCGGCTTTGCCCGGGGAAATATATATTTAAAAACTTGTCTTCTCTTGAAAAACATGACATATCCATACACAAATACTAAGCCATTATGAAAGCCCGGCGTTCCGTTTGTCTGTCCATTTGTCCGTCAACAAAATGATGAGACCCTTTCGGAAGTCCTGAATCAAAAAGCTATAGAAAGTGGGAGCAAAAAGTTGACCAAAAAAATTTACAAATGTTGTCGACCCCCCCCCCTCCCCCAATATATTTTATTTTGTAGGCATATATACTTACACACCCTACATACAATAGAATAAGTAGTATCTAGTGACTCTACAATAGTATCTACTGACTCTAAAGTCGTATCTACCTACTCTATAGTAGTATTTACTGACTCTACAGTAGTATCTACTGATTCTACAGTAGTATCTACTGACTCTATAATGGTATCTACTGACTATAGTAGTATCCAGTGACCCTACAGAGAGGGACGGAAGGAGGTTGAGGAGGGGACTGCCGAACGTGCAGGGGAAGTTGATTACTGAACACTCCTTCCTCCACCTCCTCATCCCTCTCCTCCACCTCCTCATCCCTCTCCTCCACCCCCACCTCCCCCACTTCCCCCACCACCTCCCCCACCACCACCCCAATCTCTACCAACACCTCCACCACCTCCCCCTCCACGACCTCCACCACCCCAACCACCTCCCCCACCTCCCCCACCTCCTCCCCTCTTCCCCCACCTCCACCACCTCTCCCACCACCCCCACCACCTCCACCACCCCTCCCTCCACCACCCCTCCACCTCCTCCCCCCCACCCCCCCCACGCACCTTGAGTGAGCCGCGTGGGCTCCCGCACGGCGGGGCCGTCGATGGTGCAGGGGTGGCCGCAGGGCACCAGGGTGATGGCGCCGCCCCGCGACTCGATGATGCAGTGGTCGCGCTGCGCTCCGGGACCGCGGATCTCGATGTCGGGAGGAGGAATCGAATCCGCCGTGCCCAGCTTAGTTTGCCCTGTGGGTGTGTCGGTGGGTGGGGGGGGAGGGAGAGGTGGGATGGGAGGGGGGAGGGAGAGAGAGTGAGTGGGTTGGGAGGGAGGGGAGGGAGGTGTGGAGGGGAGGGAGGGGGAGGGGTGGAGGGAGGGGAATGGGAGGGAGGAGAATGGAAGGGAGGGGAGGGAGGGGAGGGGAGGGAGGGGAGGGTGGAAGGGAGGGGAGGGGGATGGGAGGGGGGGAGGAGAATGGAAGGGAGGGAGGGGAGGGAGGGAGGGGAGGGGAGGGAGGGAGGGAGGGAGGGAGGGAGGGGAGGGAGGGGAGGGAGGGAGGGGAGGGGAGGGAGGGGAGGGGAGGGAGGGTGGAAGGGAGGGGAATGGGAGGGAGGGAAGGGAGGGAGGGAGGGAGGGGAGGGAGGGAGGGGAGGGAGGGAGGGGAGGGAGGGAGGGAGGGAGGGGAGGGGAGGGAGGGAGGGAGGGGAGGGAGGGAGGGGAGGGGAGGGAGGGGAGGGGAGGGAGGGAGGGAGGGAGGGAGGGAGGGGAGGGGAGGGAGGGAGGCGAGGGGAGGGAGCGGAGGGGAGGGAGGGAGGTGAATGGGAGGGAAGGGAGCGGAGGAAGTGGAGGGGGTGAGGGGAGGGAGGGAGGGGGAATAAATAGATCGAGGAATACAATCCAGGCACACGCATGGATTCTGTGGCGAATGCTTCCCAAACAAACACGACGCGATTTGTAGTGGTGGTTGTGGTGACGGTTATTGTTGTGGTTGTTGTTGTGGTGGTTGTTGTGGTGGTTGTTGTTGTGGTGGTTGTTGTGGTAGTTGTTGTTGTGGTGGTCGTGGTGGTGGTTGTTTTTGTTGTCGTGGTTGTTGTTGTAGTTGTTGTTGTGGTTGTTGTTGTGGTTGTTATGGTTGTTGTTGTGGTGGTTGTTATTGTGGTGGTTGGTGTTGTGGTAGTTGTTGTTGTGGTTGTTGTTGTGGTAGTTGTGGTGGTTGTTGTTGTGGTGGTTTTTGTTATGGTGGTTGTTGTTGTAG